AGTAGTCTTTTGGCAAAAGGACACTGTCGATGGTTGATTTGTGGCACGCGAGCTCGTCAGGAACAGTGTGCTGGCGTTTGCAGTGCAGCCCACGTTGGCCGAGAAAGCAACGGAGCAGAAGAGGAGAGTCGCTGGGCTGCTGCTCCCTGCATAGGCGTAGAGTGCGCCGCCAGCGCCACACATATTTGACACGTTGAGGGCCCTGTTGTTGTAGAAGCTGACTCCTTGGAAGTAAAGGGAGGCTCCACTAGAGAAGATGGCACCCCCACCCGAAGCTGGATGGGTGGAGAGGAGGGTGGGTAGGGTGGGATGGGGACACAGGGGGGCAGTCGAGCGACAAGGACTGATGGCCGGACTGCAAAAGAGGGTGTGAGATGGGGACGGCGCAAGGCAACAACAACTGCGAGAATGGTTTTATTCAGGAAACGAGGGGTGTGAGGAACTGAGCAGTGGCGAGGCCAGAGGTAGGAGCAGGGACAGGATGGAGGAATGACAGGGACTGCTGCTTGAGAAGAGACCATCCTTAGAAAAGGCCTTCCCTAGCAAAGGCATACCCCACAAAGCTTAATCCCTAGGAAAGAAAAGGCATTCCGTAGAAAAAGCATTCCCTAGAAAATTCATTTCTTGGAAAAAAAATATCCTCAGGAAAAGCTTTCTGTAGAAGATGCTTTCCTTTTATGTCTCTGGATGATGGAATAGAGAGGTGTGGAACAACGGCGGATTAGACTAATTTGGGTTTTTTAGCTATGATGGAGAAAGTTAGCCCTGGGCTTTTGAGGCGGGTCAAAGGCCATGAAAGGGAAATGTAGCACTGGATCCACAGAGCCAACCCCCACAGAACACACTCAACTCACAAGATTGACAGGACCACCCACAGAGCACAGAAAGCTCATAAGTGTGGGCTTGACTCCATACGGATTGACTTTTAAGAAGGCTCAAAGGTGACCATCGCACAGAAACATACACACATTCAAACACATGCGTGCGCGCGCGCACATCCTCACTCACGCACGCACGCATGCACACACACACACACACACACACACACACACACACACACACACACACACACACACACACACACACACACACACACAGACACACACATGCACATGCAAAAACGCAACCATACACGTACGCGCGCGCGCGCACACACACATACATACATACACCCCCAGAACCCAGCACACAACCACACACAAGGGCTCACACAACCATACCATCCCAACCCCCTCCTCCCCACCCGCCATCCCTCGTCCCCCCTCGTCGCCCCTTCCAATGACTCACACACACATGCACACACACACGCACGCACGCACACACACACGTACCCACTCACTCACCAGCGCTATTCCCATCAAACGAACACCACTTGAACCGAAGATTGCCAGTTCCTGCCACCGAGATCACCCCTCCCATGCTCCATGGCACACGGTTGTTCCGGAAGACACTGTTCACAAAGGTCATAGCAAGCACGTTCCCCTGGGAGTTCCCCCAATTGATGTTGATTGCCACTGTGTTGTTGCGGAAGTTGCATAGTGTGAAGAAGCGACTGGGAGGTGTGACTGTTGCAGGGAAGGTGTCACTGGTGGGTTGGGGTGGGTGGGGATAGAGGAGAATGTGGTGTGCCTTGCTATGGGCGGTGCGGCGAGGGAAGATATTGGAGTGATGGCTGTTGCAGGGACGGATTCGCTGGTGGGTTGGGAGACAGGGAGGGAGGGACGGGTGGGGTGGAGGGCAGTGGAGAGTGTTGTCGCAAGTATATGGAGAACAGATGGGAGTGTACATAATGTACATTTGTACAGGCAAACCAGTAAAGCGGTACTGAGGATAGGGACCGAGGCTCGGATGATGGCTGGGCGATGTTGGGCTGCCGAGTCAACACAGTCGCATGGGGGGAGCGGGGAAGGGAGACAACTGGATGGAGCTTTTTCTTTGTGTGAAGAATGCATGTTTGTTTCCTTGCAGGTTGGATGCCCGAGCCAGCTGGAGTTACAGGCGCGAGCTGGAGGTCAAGCAGTGGGGCGGCTAAGTGGCGGTGGCAAGAGGATGAGAAGGCTATCTTTTCGCTTCGGTGGGAGGCCATCCCCTTCGAAGGGCGTTAACGGTGTAGCAATAGGGGGAGGAAGTAGGCTAGGATATAGGGGGTACGGGCATTTGACTCTGCATTGTTTGTATGTCCTGTAATACTCATGTGATTGCTTTAGAATCGTGTGGGGGTGAGTGGCAGGCCATAACAAATCCTGGAGTTATGGAGAAGTGACGTAGGTGGTGCTTATTAGTGGATGTGAGTGAGCTGCACGTGCTCTTCAAGGGAATACTAAGCATCAGAAGGAGCAAAGTCAGCAGTGAGATTACATCAAGCAAGCAAGCAGGAGGGAACGACTTCAGAGGCAGGAGTCAGCATAGCCAGAGAGCAAAGGGGGGGGGTGGTACATAAGAAACGAGAGATTTGACAGAGAGTGGGGAAGAGAGGAGGGAGAGATAGGGGAAGGGCATCAGGACAAGGAGAGGTAAGGGAATTTCCGACAGTGTGAGAGGGAATAGCGGGCATCAATAACGGATTGCTGAGAAGAGGCGGTAGGTAGGGGTGTATGGTGGGAGTCGCTAGTGGGTTGCGTGGGGATGGCAGGTGATTTAGAGTGTGGGAGGGAATAAGGAGAACTCCTAGGGGACCGTGATTGGCGATTCACCAAACCATCAATCACGGTTTGTCGTCAAGTTGCTTGTGTGGATTTTCAAAAGTAGGTGAGGGACAATGGAATGTGCGACGGAATAGGGGGGCCCGTTTGCGGTTGCGTTGCCGTGTAAGGTGCAGCATGAGACGACTTGAAGAGCACATCAGATCAGCATGCTATATTTTGATGCACCATGCTTCCGTGCGCCAGACACTCTCTCACATGAACTTTACTTACACACTTTCATTGCACACCATGCACACTTTCATTGCACACCATACACACTTTCATTGCACACCATGCACACTTTTGAGTGCACACCCACACACACTTTCAAGTGCACACCACACAAGCTTTCAAGTGCACACCACACACGCACTTTCGCGTGCACTACACACACACTCACCACCCCTCCCTTTCCCTCATCTCCCTCCCATCACCCTCACCTGAGAACCGCTGCGCTAAAGCGAGGAGCCATGTTGTCGACGAAGTCGCATCGAGTCATGTTGATCGCTGTCCGAACGTTGAGAAAGATGCCTCCTCTCGACTCCTGAAAGATGAGGTTGACCAGAGTTAGCATCCCCCCGGTGGGGCCGGACGAGGGGGAGGTGAATATGGGCAAGGTGCCCCCGGATATGTAGCAGCTGGTGTTGGGGAGGGAGGGGGAGATGGTGCGCGAAGATAGAACAGCGGAACTAAAGCGGGTTCGAGAGAGAAGGGAAGAGGAGATGGCGGCGCAGAGAGGTTTGATAAGAGCAATGGCGATGCAGTGAGCAGCGGCAGCAAAGGCAAACAAGGGGGCATTACTAGTGTGGCTTTTTCAGGCGTCTCAAAAGTCGTTGCAAGTGTGGCTGAGACGGTTGCGAGCTTGCTTCATTGTGTGCCAACCAGACTGCCACTGCACCCTATATTTGATAAACCTATTAAACGCCTGGCATCCCTAGTATTACTCGTCTGGTAAGACTCTCTGGGTAAGACTACCATAACTTCCAGTGGCTGTGATAGTAACTGCAACCTTCTTGTGACCGTACCAGCCCCACTAGGGTCTGGTTCACCCATCTGACCCACTGAAACTACCATCCCCAGATGACCCCGGTTCCCAGATAATCCCACTACCCTCTTGGTACAGCAACCAACTGGTAGCACCTACCTGGTAACCCCGATAGTACCAGAATTCCTACACGCGCCCCTGACGATCAGCTTGGCTGCACCTGAGAGTGCGGGGAGGGGGCTGTGGGAGGCGAGGGGGGAGGAAGGGGAAGGGGGATGTCGTTTGGGGTAGCGGGAAGAAGAAAACATCCTGGGAAGTAGGAAAAAGAAATTATTTTTAACTCAATTAAGGGGCGAGAGAGAGTGGGTCGAAATGGTTTGATAATGCACATAGAGCCTGCTTGATGGCATGAGAGGCGTGGTGCGTCTCCATAATGTAACTCTACCTTGATTTTTGTTTTCTTGGACTTAAGTGCGTAGAAAACTAAACAGTGTTCGTGGCATGAGGTGGCGAACGCACGACGTGGCGAGACGGGACATGTGCAGCGAGGAATGATGAGGAACTTACTGGTACGATGAGATATACAAGCTGGAGGTGAGATTGAGCTCAGTGGGTGGCGCGACTGCTCCTCCCTGTGGTCACGCCAGTGGACGCAACACACACACGGGTGAACGGGAAAGTTGAGCTAACTCCGTCAAATCTTTCCTTACCCACTTGAACAACTAGGCTAACTGCCAGTTGAATCAATGAAAAAAGCATTTATGTATATTCTGATTTTTGCATCGCCTTGACCTGTGCTCCCACCCACTCACCCATACTACCCACAACCTGCTGACATCTGCAAAAAGTGTGGCTCCAACTTATAGCCGGAAACTAAACTGTCCCCAGGGCCACTTTAGGGACTCAAAAAAACGTCCAAAAAGAGTCTTGAGTGAAATTCCGTCCGTGGTATGTGTCCGAAAAATATCCAAAAACAGATTCGTCCAAAAAGAGTCTTCAGCGAAATTGTGTTCGTAAAGTCACGGGTTCGAATCTCGCATGGTCATGTTAAATTAAGGCCACAAACAAATCATCCACATAGCTGCAGTAAAGTGTCTCATGGCCTGCGCCATAGAGAATTATATTATATACCACATGTTACAACACTATAGCGTGTCTACAGTATCGGACATAAGTAAAAAGTACAAGCGAGGTTCAGGAGGCATTCTCGTTAACTACTAGTGTTTATTTATGCGTGAAGGCTTTCTAGCTCATAGGTTAAAATAGAGATACGATGGTCACGCCACTACAAGGGCCACCCAAAAGTAAACCGACTTGAACCCTCCACACGCTCAAAACAGAAACCTGTTCACCAAATAGTACCCAGGCTGCGAGAAGCAGGGCACAATGTGGGAGAGACACAGGATGCTGTCCACATCGAGAATTGCAAACGCATCCTTGCCTACCATGGGAAGGAGCATGCGGCACCCCGTGTGAGAGCACGAAAACGGCTGCTCCGTGAAGTACCTGACGAATGCCCTCCTCTGAATCTGCTGGCTCTCATCAGTGTAGTGGAATAGCACAAGACATCTCGCAAACCAGTCGGCCCTCCCGCCTGCAATGCGAATGTGGCTGAACTTGTTCTCCTTGGGTGATGCCTTCACCACCTGTCCGACGCTGCCTCGGTCCATCCGGTCATGCGATGGAATGGCGAGGGCCGTGTGAGTCTGTCCAGAGTGGGGTCATGATTTAAAGGACCCAATGGTGGGGACAAGGAGGACGGGTTGTGAGTGGCGAGAAGGCGACCTCGGGTTTTTGTCGCGTGGAACAGCTGGAAATAAGTAATGCCAATCTATGCCACCGTGTCGGGCTGTCAGCCTCGCTCTCGTATCTCACTCTCCTTCTAGAGTGCCCACAAGTAGGGTACATTTCCGAGCATGCACTGACAAGCGTAATAGTCACGGGTTGGGTTTAGGAAATATAACACACTGTGCGTGTCTAGGAGGGTATGTACCTGCAGTATGGGGGCGGTGACCCCCGACCGTGGAAGTTCCAGAAACAAACGATCCATGATCTCGCCCCCCAAGGCCACACTGTATGCCGCCCACCGAGGGTCGTGCCTATCTCCGGGGACCATCCGGTGGGTGGTTTTCGTTAGTACACGCACGTGCCGCTCCACGGCCTGCGTGGGGTTTGGTATTTGGGGTTGGGGGTGGGCACACGTTAGTACCATCCGGTGTTGCAAAGCAAAACGATAGAGCGGCATGGACGAGTGTTTGGGGGTCATATAGGATACATATCACTCGTACCAACATACCAGGGTTTGTGCAAGCATGGCCCAATACCACACTCACTATCCCTGGTACTAGGTCGCTCCGCTTGCCACATACTTTATGCAAGTGACAACACCACCACGGTAAACAGGGTCAACTCACTAGCCGCATTGCCGTCTCGTACTGCTGGCCACTTCCCTCCTCCCTAGATATCGCCTGTATTGCCTCCAGCCTCATGCTCCTGTGCGCAATGTCGCGCCCCACATCTCGCCAGTTGGAGTTTCGTGCAAGCCTCTTCACCATCGTCTTATGAAAGGCTTCGTACTTGTTGGTGGAATACTCGCTTGGAAGGCCACGCGATTTGATCAGCTGCGGCATATGTGCCACCTCGTGCACCTTCACAAGGTCCCAGTTCGACTTCTGGTGTGGAAAAACCCGTACTAGGGTTGCCACCAACCTACGCATGCACCCGTGTCAAGGTGAGAACCATGACCGATCATCGTTAGAGAAGACCATGATCCCGGCATTGGGAGGGGGGGGGGGGGGGTGGGTGGGGGTACGTGTGCTCGGTAACCCGTGACGGATGTGGACCACGGTGAACATGCCCGGCTCCATGTACCGGACAGCCGATGCTTGTAAGGGTTTAGGGTAATGCGGATGAATTAAAATGGAAACGGTATGTCGGGTTGAGGGCAACAGGTACATGGATGTTTTGAAGTGACTTTAAAGGCTTCAAGCATGTTGACAGACTTACTGTTCGGTCAGCTGCATGCAGGCGTCCAGAGAGGCATCTGTGTGGTACTCCACCCTGAAGAAAGCCTGGTACCACTCGTTGAACTTGACAGCCGCATCTCCGATGTTCTCCCGTCCTGGCAAGTGAGCAATCAGAGGAACTATCTGCATCATTGCCCGGTGCTCCCATGCGGCAAACATAGACACTGTGCGGAAGTAGGTGGAGACATTTGGTGTGCGAAGGACTGACGCCGGCGTGTCGGCTAGCACCACTCTGCAGCGCCTCAGGACTTCCTTCCTCTCTGCGGCCGTCAGCACCGCAATCCAGCACCGCATCCAGTGCAGCCACCAACCCTCATCCACCACGTGCAACAGGCACACCCCGATTGACTCGTAAAAGTTCCCCCAGTCCGTGGTGACGTAACCCCACTCCCAAAGAGCGCACTGCACATCGTTTAAACGTCGTGGTGTTTGGGGTTCACGGTCAGTCATGGATGTGCTATAGTTAGTGTACTTACGGCAAGGTAGTGCGTCCATACGGCCCGTTTAATGCCACCAGTACGTGTACTTACGGCAACATAGTGCGTCGACCATGCGCGCTTTAGGTCCTCCACCTCTGTCGGTGTGCCCTCCTCCATCTCCTGGTACAAGTTCCTCTGATCCTTCACCGTGCGGGCTTCAAAAGCCTTTGTCACCTTCTTCAGGTCCCAACGATCAACAATGCACATGGAGCAGGGCTTGTAGGACGACGCGGCCATGGTCCCGGTCACCATGGATGACTCCGGATGATCACATCCATAGGTGTGCAGCATCGTAAACACCGTGGCAGGCACCCCCATGTGATCAACCACCTGCATACCTCCACTGTGTGTAGTGCCAAATAGAATCGAACTAACATCAAGGCATAGTCATAAACGACATTGTGGGCAACAAGCGTGGACACGATCGTGTGTAACACATACCTCTCAAGGGTTGAAGCTGCCATCACGGGCCCAAGCACAATATCCAGCATCTTCTGCATGACAGCGCTCTTCTCTTCAGCCGTCATCTCAGAGGGCAGTGTGGGAAAGAGAGCCAGAATCTCCGTCCCCCCCGGCTTCCATCTGTCTTCCTCAGGTGTGTTAACCAGCCCAAACATCAATGGGTGGGCTAGTTGTCTTCCATTGAATGACAGATGAGTGACATCACTGAAGAGGATGATCCCAGCCACAAACCCCGCCCCCTCGATCTTTTCCTGTCACGCATGGTACATACATATCACCCGAAAAACTGCGAATTGAGGTAATAGTCAATAACATGAGCCGGTCTAAGGGTGTAACCAACGCACCGTCGCTCGGTGGAACCAGTCGCAGTCGACTGCAGCGCTGTATCGCCTTTCGTTATTCACCTCGACCTTCCGCGGCAACTTCGCGAAACCCTTCACCGCAGACATGCGAGTCCACATCCGCGGTATCAGGACTTCGATGCGGCGGTAACGGAATGTCACCACTCCGTGATCCCCCGCCAGCTCCAAGTCCATGGTCTCCCACGTATCGTCAGCGTCCATAAGCTCCTCTTCGAAAGCCTCCAGGTCCCGGAAAGTGTCCCATAACTCTAAATCCTCGGGTGACCACAAACGGTTCTTGAACAGTTGAATGATGTCTGTAATCGCTTCATTCGGCAATAGATACTTCCGCGCTATATAAGCTAGCTCCGCCTTAATGTCTAAACGGCCTTCCTCATCTTCAGACATCGCATCTGGCGATAATGAAGGCGGAGGCTCATCGCTATCGGACCCGTCCCCACCGGGGAGGTCGTCCCCATCCGCTACCCAATCGCCCTCGTCGTCCGCCACAGACATCTCCTCGTCGCCATCCGTCTCTACCTCGTAAGCAATGGCGGCATCCATCCGTTCGGTGAAATAGAGACCGTGTGATATCCCCAGTCTAGCGAGACGAGCCTGTTCACGCAAGCATCTCTTCGACTTGCACTGGTGAGAGCGTAGTCTCTGAAATGTACTTAAAAATACGCCCACAGTAGTCGCACGACTCCCACGGCATTGTGACACTATAGCGACTTCACACGCTAAAATACCCGACCCTAGACTAGAAAGGCGCTTATGCTGCACAGTTGAGGTCCATATGACGTGCAGCCCGACCTACCACTACTTAGACTCGATTTGACGTATTTTAGGGTTAGGGCTGCAGCAGTGGTTGTCGGGATAGTCTTGTGGGATAACCTTGTACACATGGATAGTGAGGGCCCGGTCTGTACGCGTTTTTGGACGCCTCGATTGTTTCTAAGCGTTCAACACCAGTAAATTGATATTATATATAGCGCATGGGAAATACTGTAGGCATATTCAGGTGACTTCATGGCATGCAAATACCAAGGGTTCCAATCTACATCCCTAAATCCTCTCCCACACTTTTAGGGCCCAGGGTGAGAACGTTTCTTGAGTCCTGACGGCATTAGACCCTCGACGAGGCGCATGAATTGCATGATAGGAGCGTAGTCGTTGATGGCCACATAGCTGACGTCTGTACAACAACCATGGCATATCAAGGTGATCAATTTCAGAGCACTGCTACCATCCGTGTTCATAAGAGAAAACGGCGCTAGCAACCCCAATACCATACCGTTCATAGGCGGGCCACCATTGGCTGGTGGATATACGTTTGTGTCCTGATTTGCGGCAGAAGTGGGCTCATTGTTTGACGGAGTGCCTGCATGGTATCATACGTCGGTGCATACATCAGACGCAATGGAGAAGTCAAGAACTAGCTGGTACGCAAAGCCATATAAGTAAGTTATGCAGCATTAAGGGTAGCCAGCTCCAAACCTGTGCTTGGGAGAACCGTCTGAGGATTGTTGGCTGGTGACGCTGTGGGTCCTTTGGCCTGGCAAGTCGGTTCTGTGGATAAGACAGTCACTGCAACAAGTTCAGCCACTAGATGGGTAACACGAGCAGAGTATTCCTCACTGCGAACATGGGCTGCTGATCGTACCAACCTGTAGGTAGCACGCTCTCATCATCCACAGCACGCGTACTGGTTCCCGCAGAGTTTACGCCAACACTAATCCCCGGGATAATAGGAGCCGCATCTTCCCGAACGGTGACAGTAGGTGTCACATCAACCGTGTGTGTTTCGCCGCCGGTTGTGACGGAAGGGTCACTCGTAGAGAGCACCTTGCGCGCCGGATCGAGCGCAGGCGCGGTAGTACCAGAAACATGCGCACCGGGAGCTGCGCCCTTAACAGCCTCCATACCATTCGTATTAGGGTCGGCTGCAAAAATGCCAGCGGGAGTGACTCCTTTCCCCTTCGAGGGGGAGCTTCTCTCGCTCAGTCCCTCCACATCCGTCTTACTCGAAGTTTTCTGGGCCACTGCTCCACCCTGAACTGCAGTTGCCGTGTGCCCACGTGACTCTGGAGATGGAGCGACCCCTTCCTTCGGTACTTTGAACCCTTTGCGATCGTGCCCACAGACACGCCCATAGAAACGCTTATCAGTGAGCGTCTCCTCCTCGGTCTCTGCATCTGCGAGATTCCAGTGCATCGCTGTGCCATGTTTCTTGTTGCGTGGCTCGTCTGACGGTTCGCTGTAGCCCTGCGCATGACCTGCCATTGGCTGGGTTGCATCACGATGCTCCCAATAATGAGCGAGTGGGTTAAACTGAGGAAGGATGAACGACCCATCACGGCGCATAGACTCCGTGACGTACATCATCTGCGATTCGTCTACGGGCCTGTCCACCTCTTCTTGTGCCTTGTCGCGGCTCTTGTCTGCCTTACTCGAGGCCATGACGTCGACTGGTACTAGGTCGCGATTGCGGCTGAAAGTATTTAGGGTATCTGTATCCAGTCGTGCTCTGTTGAGAGGAGATCATTGCAGAGGTATCGCTGGGTTTCCGGGCAACGCACTATAGTAACGATATTGTGACATGTAGTTATACTGATAAACAAAATTTCATGTTGGGCACAATATTACTGGTACGTTACCCCATTATTTCCAATACCAGCACTCGGGTTTAGGGTCGAGTACACAGCATACTGCCTTGTAGGCTATACAATGAAGTCGCACTCATTTGAAACCATCACTGGCCTTTAATGTGAGCCGCGTTCCTAACGTAACCCCGCGAAAACTCTAAAAAATCCTGCTGAATCTCTGTCCGCCATAGGGTCGAAGAACCATAGAGATGAATGTGGCTGGTGTCCTTGAAGTTAGACTCAATCAGAGTCTGCATAAACTTCATGACAAAGACACCACAGTCCCACTCATTCTGCTGCTGTGTCACCTGTATGGGTAGGCTCCAGATTTGTTAGCATCAAATGGGACCAGAAACGGTTAACTGGGAAATGCTGAACTCACTTCAAGTGAGACACACTCGATGGCTGCTTCCCACAGGTCAGCAGTGTCCTCCAGCACGCGTGGTCGGAGTTGAAGGAGCTCGTTACGCATATGCCTGTAGGTGGGTGCAGTATGTTTTGGATGGGTGAGAACACACTGACACGAGCATATCGAATCGCTATAGCGAGTATATACGGGCTCACACTCACTTGCGGAAGGCAGGCCAGAAGCCATGATGGGCATTGTACGAGTCCGCGTGCAGTATGCGTGGAGGTCTCGGTATGAGTGTCTCTTCAGTGATCTCCTCGTTCTCCAGAATTATCAGACTCCAGTGGTTACCGTAGAGTGTGCTTTCTACCCTTGTTAATGATCCGACGTGGCACATCCTCCAATTTTGCCGAGCCCGCATGTTAATTGGCAGGTACAAATCCCAATAAACATAAACACACCTGATATGAAGCGGAATTAGCACCCACTTGTACGTCAACAGGTTTTCACCGAACGTGATGTTTCGATATCACCCTCCACGACCACGTCGGGTGATGAGCGGGTAAAACGCGGTTGACACGTAAAGCCATTCGCGACATTCAATGTCGTGCTCGTACTGCAACATCCTGTAAGCCAAGAGAAAAGACTTAGCGCGAGCAACGTTTGTTTGCACGATGGATATGTGGGTCATGGTAGATGTGGCAACTCCATAGATATTTGCACACCAAACCACTCTATGATGTCGCCACTAATCCACTCTGATCCAACAAGAGAGTTTGCTTGCTCATGAGTTAACGTTAACCATCCTCCACCTAGAGGGTATGGAATGTTGTATGAAGTGAAAGCTCCTGATGCCATTAAAAGGGAAAGCGACGAACAGATGTGTGACGACAGACCTTACAATGTGGAACTAACAGCAGTCTAGGGTTTCCATAGTGAGAGATTGGGTTGGGGACGTTTTCTGGATACAATTTGTGAGAGGGGGCCCTCGATTACGTTGGGTTACTGGTGGTTCTGGGTGTAACTTGGGTTGCGGTTCACGGGGGTTTCAATGTAATGGTACACGGTATGAGAAGAACCAGACGTGGTTGGATAGGCTTCTATGCGATTTTGCCACGGATTTTGGGCCCCTCCGATAAGTGTTGCTGCTCCGCCTGGTCGCTTTTGTGCGAAAAAGGCGAGGCAGACTCACACTAAACGACTATCCGTCTCGTGTTACCATCATCAAATTGTGGGGCTCCCCTTTCACATCCAGCGAGGGTAACGAAACGCGGAGTAACAGAGGGGTACCAATGTATCGCGCTGTCCAACGCATATAATCGTGTACGACGTTTGTCTCCACTACTGGTTGGAAGTACTTTCGAGATAACAGGCAGTGACGTGGCGCGTAAACAGTGGGCGTTGTCACGAAGGGGCACCAGAAGCCACACACATTGGAAAGTGGTTACTGCGTGCAGCGTTTTAACTTCTTCGTTGTTGACGGTGACTGGAGGGGTCCAGTCTATGACCCCTTTGCTCGTGTACCCCTAGATCAACGCACAGGCGCTCTTGGCGAACGCTTACATCAACGGCTGGCATTTTGCGTTGCACACAATCCGAAGCCTTTGACGTGATTGAGCGAAATGTGTAAAGTTAACCTCGCAAGTGCTGACTGCGGCAGTGTCGTCAGTTGCATTCTCGTTGGCAATACTACTAGCGCTCACTCTGTTGCTAATATATAGGGGTTCAACAAGTATGGCTGCCGCGTCACAGCGCCCAATCCGAGAGCGTAGGGCCACGACGATTTTGGACCAGACACAGTATGAACTGCCACAAATGCGCACACGTGGAGCCACTGCGATGTACTGTGCGGCAGTAGACGACACAAGAGCCCTGATCCGAGCTTACCGTTGCGAAAATCCGACAAAGAAAGGCCATTTGCTGCCTGGTGTTGCCAACGCGGTCGCCCCTAAGGTCAAACGTGAGCTACCGTACGGACGCACCGCCGCATCCGTACTAGCTGAGCGGCGTGGCCATCAGCGACCGAAAGGAAAGCCACTCAAGGACATCGTCATGAAAGCAGAGGGAGGAACCGTTTCGCCAAACTGGCCAGGTATGGTCCTCGAGCTCATATTCGTATACGAGCACGCCCAGCCTTTTTCTTCAGCTTTATCAGTGTCGGTAGTCCGGTATGGATCGATGTGTGCACTAACCTCAAGGATTGTGTCACAGGTTTCTCCAATGTAACGCCCGCCAATGGTGACACCGTCGTTGGTGGCCTCATTAGTGAGGACAACAACTACGCAGCGTGGTACTACTACAACGACCCGCTGTACACGGTCGACAAAGACCACTCTCCGACGGGAGACGTATCACCGGAGTCAGCTTCCGGAAATAGTGATTCTGGGACAGGGGGTGATAATTCTGCAGACGAGGATTGGGTTGCGTCTGCATCTGAAATGTCGTTGTCAGATTATGGTAACACTTCCCCCACTAACGCCAATCCCCCAGGGAACCCGACGCAAGGCGCGAACACCTTGGAGGCGCCCAAAAAACGCCGCGGCAGACAGAAGAAGGCACGTGGCAAGGCGACCTCTGTGAAACCGATGGACATGGTACGCCGAATGGTGGCAGGAGGATATCGCTTGCAACGTCTCGTGGCGCGACGAGGCGTGGACTTGTACGAGATTGTGGACGATGACCCGGAGGACGACGAGCTGCCAGAAGATGAACTGGATGACGAGGAGATGGAAGACGAGGACATGGACGAGGATGAGATGGAGGAGGATGCGAGTCTACCTGCAGGCGACACGGGCGACGGGAGAGCCAATACCATGATGTCACCTAACAATTCACGTCGAGCTTCTGATGATGACGTGGTGGAGGTGACACACTCCCCGAAAACCAGCACACACCATGGTGTCGGCAGCTCGAAGGAGATGCGAACCAGCCCTAACGCAAGAGCCGATGAGTTGAAGTGTGCGCCGCATTTTCACACGCCCTCTCCTGTCTCGACTCCTATCGCTGGCAATAAACCTACATACTCCCATCATTCACCAATGCTGCAAGATGGTCATGCCTATCCCTCACACGTAGGCAAACCGCCTTCCTCGCAGATCGCGCACGCGGAGTCCAACCAGATGGCCGAACGAGGGCAGCGACGCGAGCAGGTGGAGCCTGGGGACCACGTGGCGGGGAAAGGTTCACAATCGGGAGGCCGTGCTGCTGCTTCAGCTCATGCGTTTGGTTCTACCCCAAGGGACCCACGTCTCTCTCCTCAGTTCTTGCATGCAGGCCCATCCCGGTCAACCCCCCCTGACAACCATACGCCTTGCGGACTCGACCGCGTGCCGCGGGCTTCACCGGCTAGCGGCGAGGAAAGCCGCTATCATTTTCAGTCGTCGCCGATGCAAGCGTCGTGCGGAAGAGGACCCTACAAAGATGCACGGGAGTCAACACATCGCATCGCAGAGGATGGACGGGAGCTCGATGTCGCGAGCGAGCTTCAGCGCCTACTTGATACTGTGCGCGCGAAGGCGACTGCAAGGGGGCTAGCGTTCAACGCGGGAGAGTCTCACCGGGGCACGGTGGAGGGAGGGGTCGATTTATTGGGTGCGCTAGGTGTTCTTAAGGCTAAAGTTGAGGCAGCAGGCAGTGCAAAAGATACTCCCCACGGTGATGCTGGGCAGGGAGCGCGTGGGCGTACGGCAGAGCGCGAAGGGCACCAGGAGAAGCCGGCATCGAAATCCCCACCACGTGATGCGGATGGTCCTGCGCCCCCCTCATCGCCGCAGCCTTCAAGCAAGCCTAACCGCGGCTTTGTCATCCGTGGTCCATTGAACAAAGGGCTTTTCACCAAAAGGGCCAACCGCGGCACGGCCAAAGAGAACGGTCACCTGCAGGGGAGGCGCGGGCAAGAGACACCTGGTGGAGGGCGAACTCACCCGGCTCACGGGGGGCCCAGAGGGGAGCATGGGGGTTCTCCGCCAAGGTCTCGGGTGGACGATGACGTGGCAACGGGCGGAAAGCGCAAGCAGCTGGAGCGTCCACACTCTGTGATAACTGTGGTTCTAGACTTTGATCCAGAGGAGCCGAACACTGCCCGCACAAAGGGGTTTCCCCCATGCGATGACATCACGGTGAGCTTTCTGTCCATTTTCGGCCCTACAAGGCGAAACCAACGAGTGCGTGCTGCCTGTTGTAACACCCTATACACCACGTAAATGCCATACGCGAGTACACCTCCCTGTACTCTGGACCCCCACATGAAACGCTTGTACATGGACCATTTCCATGTCACGTTTGATATGCCCTATCGCTACCGCGCAGGAGTACGCAGAGCACTCATTGGAGCTTATGACGCGATCCTGTTCTGCGGATGGGGTCACCTACTTTCCAAGCAACGCAGAGCGGAACGAGGGGCTGAGACTGGTTTTGAGGCGGTACTATGATGTCAGTTCCCTAGATGTGCGCATGTTCATGAAAAAACGCGACTACAGCACGCAAGTCTGCAAGGTCTGGACGCGGTTTAAGAACGACAGCTCGTCATTGTCTCGGCGATACATCCTGGTCGGGCTGCACGTCAAGCTAAAAGGGAAGGGGGTGTACAAGGTGTTCATTGCCATTGACTATAAGATCAAGCTGTGGAGGAAGTGGGGCCCTCGTGAGTATGCGGTACCTTGGGTGACGTGGGGGGCTGGTATAGCTCTGGGTCTGGGTATGTAGTCTGGTCCTAAACCCTCCCAAGGCAGCACCCTAAACCATGCTCATGATCAACCACTTCTCACCTTGTGTCACCTCTCATGCACTAAAGCCATCAGCAACTAACGCCACGAATTGGGTCTCTGTGTTTCTACCCCAATGCGTGCCCCCAAACTGCCACAGAGCGCCACCTGTCATCGGGCCTCTCATGCTGGTCCCATGCCGAGAAGGATCGCAGGCCCTTCACCTCGGATTTGTTCTTTGAGGCGTGCATCCTGGCCTACCCTGAGTGGGTCCGGGAAGCTGGGCTGGTTCTGGTGCCATACCATATCGCATGGATTTTGTTCTCCGTAAGAACTGTCTGTGGTTTATTGTAGGCACTGTCATTTCATCGACATCCCGCCTTGAGCGATATCTCTGACATGTCTCTTCTTGTGACGATCGCAGGTCGACTACGGGCTCTCTAATCACAAGTCCACGGCCATGACCTTCGACCAGGGTCCCCTTGCCACGGAGCAGGGAGTGCAGAAGACAGCGGCCTGCGTTTGGAACGCTGTGGCCATGTGGTTGAAGGTGTCAAGGGGCCGGTGGTATGACAAGAACGTGGGAGGCTTCCGTTGGGGGAAGCGGAAGTTGTGGGTGAATGAGAGTGCGTTTGAGCAATTTTTGCCGTCCTGTTTCCCCCCTGAGGCAGACCCTGTAGGCAATGATGAACCATGGATGGAGGGCTGATGCGTAATAGGGCACGGACATTACCCCCCTTTTTTTTTAAATCATGCTAAATGTTGTGGACTATGATTTGCATGCGCGTGATAATTGTAGTCTGTTGAGTCTGGTGGCCGTTTATTAGGTCGATCTAGAATAATTATCTGCTTGTACAAGGTGTAGAGCATGGATGCATCTCTATAGTGCTTATCATAAAGCATTCTAAAGAAACCCCCATATGTATGCTGTGCCATGAAGTGTCCGAAAAGACTCTTTTGGGAGTCCGGATAATATCTGGGTTGTCGAGGCGCGCATCTGGGGGAACGAACTGCAGCCAATTAGCATGCTGGACATGTGTTCGGAAAGAGTCTTTTTGGACTCTCTCGTTGGAGAGATTTTGGACTCCTGTTTCTGCTAGTACTAGGTCCGAATGGACTCTTTTTACGCCTGTCCAAAATTTAGCCCGATGGACTCCTTTTGGACTCCGGAGGCCACTTTTGGGCCAGATGGAAATTGGTGATGGAAGCACGAACTATTGACGACAAACACGCGGAAAAAGCATGCGTGAGCAAAACAATATTTTTCTTTCGCAAACACATAAAAAAAAAAAACGTATGTGGAAGGTGATACAACACGCGACGAGCCTCGTGCACCGAGCACGCCTTACTAGTAGTGATTCACCATTCGAAAACAATCACATCGACATATTTTCTTGCTACTTGGTTTGGCTACTGGAATGATCGGGTTCACGTGGATGCTTGTCGTTTGAACTGGGAGGCCGCTAATGTCCCTGTAGGTCACCTTATCGGCATGTTGTGACTTACGATAGTTTGGGACCAGCTACTGAAGGGTTCTCGAGGCTGGTTGTTGTACCTTGAAGGTACTACTTATGTGATGAATGTGCGCTAAAATCGCAGCACGACGTGATACCTATCGGTTTGCAGAAATCCTTTGCGCTGACACGCTACAGTGAAGTGCAAGTAGGTACATGATCATGCTTACTCACCTAGGGTTTCACGGGGAAATAGAGATGATGTGCGTACCGCATTCGCCATGAGGATGGCATCTTTAAGTGTCAACTCTGGGGACGCCGCGACAGCCGAGTCTGGACCGCAGATCATCCCAGTGACTAGCAATGCGACGATGAAGGAAATGATGTGATTGTAACAGTGCAGCCGAGTGCTGCCAACTGCAATGCAGGTGGGCAGAAGACAATTGTAACAGTGCAGCAGCACGGTGCTAAGAACAGTGCAGGTGGGCGGAAGTCAAGCGCCACCTCACCTGCAGTTCGGATTGGTCGAACGCCCCAACCTGCAGCTGGGCGACCAGATTCCGACACGCAGCCCAAGTCAATCCCACGCACGAAAATTACGAAACGCAGGACTCTGAAGTTCCGACCGCTCGCCGACTTCGCCAACAACACCGACGAAATTACAGCCGCGTAACCAAGCTCGCCGTCCAATCCCGTACCGCAATAATTCTCTGAATTTCACGGCAGGTTCATTTCAAAGGGTTGGGTTACCATTGAGAAATTCAGAGAGAGTCGCGACTTGGGAGTGCGACTCGATGTTTGAATGTGCTCTATAAAATTGTACTGTCAAATTTGTGAAGAGATAGTGCAAATTCCAGAGAACTCAGAGAGCACTCTATCCTCGTTTTCCTAGCCTACTAAGGCTGCTACTTCCCTGCCCAGCAACGTTTCACTGGTAATCAGAGCCTGGTTACTCACTTCGCACGCTCCCGCCATATTCTAGACCCTATGGCTGGACCGTCGGATATGACTCTGGAACTCTGGAACAAGTTTGTAGCCAATATGCGCCGAGAAATTGAACGCGAGGTGCGTGACCGGATCCTCGGCGAACTCCAGGAACGTGGACTCCTGGGCATACAGGTGCCAGCGCCAGCACCTGCTGTGGTCTCTGCACGTCTGAAAGCACCGGAACCTGAGCCGTTTGTCCCTGGAAAATGAGACGTACCTGTGCGAAGGTGGCTTTTCCAAGTGGAGGAATACCTCTCCCTTTGTCATGTCAACCGGGCGGAGTGGGCTCGGCACGCCGGCATGATGCTGCGGGGAGCTGCTGCTACTTGGTGGCAGAGCTGCCACGCTACAATTTCAACATGGGAAGAATTTTCTGCAGCGCTCTTAATGAACTTCGAACCGGTCAACGCCATCGAGCGCGCGCGTGACAACCTTGCTGATTTACGCCAACACCGCTCGGTCACTGAGTACATCAATCGCTTCCGCGAGCTCATGCTTGAGATTCCTGACATCCCTGGTGCTGAACAGATGGACAAGTTCAAGCGTGGGCTGAAGCCGAAAATCCGCACCGAGGTTGAACTTCGTGCCGCTGCGACGTTGGATGAGATGATTCGTGTCGCCGAGCGTTTTGACACCATCAACTTTGCAGCGTACCAGCGATTCCAAGGGCGGACCGGGCAGCACGCAGTGGCTGGTCCTACTATCCGCACCAATGGTCCTACTCCCATGGAGCTCGGTGTGGTGGACCAGCACACACGCAACCAATCCACGCTCACGTGCTACTCGTGTGGGAAAGTCGGCCACATCAAGCGACACTGCCCGAACCGCCGCAACTTCGAAAGGTCTCCGGGAAACGGACAGCGCCAGTAGCAGTTGGGCAGACCTCTGGCGCATCGCATGCCCCGCTTCTCCCGACCCCATTATTCATTGGCACCTCTGAACTCTACACCACGTCAAACGCTCCATACCCCGCCATCATCCTATGGGCTAAAATAAAAGATCGCTACGTTGATTTTCTGCTTGATACCGGTGCCTCCGCTAACTTCCTCTCTCCTTCCATTGCTGCTGAACTTTCTCTCCCCGAAGATCCCAACAGCAACCCGCAAGACGTGATCATGGCAGATGGTACTCGACGGCGCTGCGGACCTACCCTCCTCCCCGTGCACTGCATGTTTGGAAGCCTCGAGGTGACGGTTACGTTCGAGCAGATGCACCTCGGCGGCTACGAAGGCGTTCTCGGTCGACCGTGGCTGTACCAGTTGGGACCGCGAATCTATTGGCGTAATGCAACCGTCACTGTCGGCAACTACGACCTCCCATCCCGCTCCTACCGCCGCCCATGGTCATCCCCAACAACTTCAGCCTCATCAACTCATCCACCCCAACCTGCCCCTCCTCCAGCCTCCCATATCCCCCCTCTCTCTCCTCCTCTCATAGCCCCCGCGCAGCAACCAACACCACCAGGCTCCCCCGAAGTCATCAACACACCTCCTCCATCCCCTCCCCACCTAACCCAGCAGCCACGTCGTTACCTCTTCCGCCCTTTCTCTGAAGTTGTCAACCCACCAGCCCCCACCCCTCCTTCACCACCTCCTCCTCATCATCTCCTCGTCATCTTCACGGCTCCCGAATCTGCAGCATCAGCTACCCCTCCGCCATCAACCATTCAGAATCTGCTCAACGGTTATAAGGACGTGTTTCCGGATGATCTACCCGCCGAACTTCCACCCGAGCGTGCTATTGACCATAGCATCCGCCTCATTCCAGGTTCTACACCGCCCGTGCGGCCAACCTATCGCATGAGCACCGCTGAACTTTTGGAGCTTCGACGCCAACTCGATGACCTTCTTACGAAGGGTTTCATCCGCCCCAGCACCTCACCATACGCTGCCCCCGTACTTTTCACCCGCAAGAAGGAAGGTGACTTACGCCTTTGCATCGACTACCGCGCCCTCAACGCCATCACGATCAAGAATAAGTACCCGCTGCCCCGTGTCGAGGAGTTGTTCGACATGCTTGGGGAAGCGACGGTTTTCAGCAAGCTCGACCTACGCTCCGGTTACCACCAGATCCGCCTCGCCGAAGATGACATCAATAAGACGGCGTTTCGCACCCGCTACGGCCACTTCGAGTTCCGAGTCCTTCCGTTCGGCCTCACCAACGCACCAGCCACGTTCATGGGACTCATGAACGATATTTTTCGGCCCTTCCTCGACCGCTTTGTCATCGTGTTCCTCGATGACATCCTCATTTTCAGCAAGTCTCTTGAGGAACATGCTCAGCACCTACGCGTCGTCCTCGACACGCTCCGCCAACACCGCCTCTACGCCAAGCTCTCCAAGTGCACCTTCGCCCGTTCAAGCATCGGCTTTCTTGGCCACGTCATCAGCTCCAAAGGCATTGCTATGGACCCCGCAAAGGTCCAGTGCCTTGCTGATTGGCCAGCACCACGCACGGTAGCGGAGCTGCAAAGTTTCATCGGCCTCGCCAAGTATTACCGGAAATTCATTTTCAACTTCTCCCACATCTGCGCTCCTTTGACCGATCTCTTTCGTCAAGGAGCTGCCTTTCAATGGGGACTACAGCAGCAGACCGCTTTCACCGCAATCAAATCAGCACTCACCTCTGCACCGGTCCTCACCGTCGCTGACCCATCACGGCCGTACTTCATATGGACCGATGCCTCTGATGTCGCTATTGGTGCCATTCTTTGCCAAGACCACGGCCATGGGATGCAGCCACTTGCATTCGAGTCACGAAAACTTCAACCGGCAGAGCGGAATTACGCAACACACGATCGGGAGCTCCTTGCCATTGTCCACGCAATCAAGACATGGCGCTGTTACGTGGAGCTGCAGCCCGTCACCGTCTACACCGACCATCGCCCACTTCAACACCTGAAAACACAGCCCGTGCTCAGCCGCCGCCAAGCCCGATAGGTTGAGTTTTTGGAGCAGTTTGTCCCCTCACTCCAGATCATCTACCGCCCCAGAAAGCTCAATCCAGCCGACGTCTTGTCCCGACCACCACCGCCAGCCCCACCACCCACCAACCACCCCCAACCACCCACCAACCAGCCCCAACACTTCCCAACCAGCCCCACCTCATCACCTCCACCTTGAATTCCGAACCCACCCTTGCAACTCCATGGAACCAGCAGCATCACATGGGATGATGCCTTCATCACGAAGTTTCAGCGCGCCTACAAACGTGACCTGTTTTTTGTCAAGCAAGCACCCGAGGACCCGGCCTACTCATTTGAAGACCC